GAGTGGAACTTGGTGTTGGGGAAATAGTTTTGAAGCTTTTTATCAACAGTCTGTATTGATGGTGTTATTTTTTATAAGTAAACTGTACGTGTACAAATGAAGTTTGAAAAGGCTCTTTCTGTTCTGTAGTGCCAAATCAGAAAGATACTCTCGTGAATAAGGCATCAGTGGTGTAAGGGTGTGATGTATGACCGGTATATTGGTAAATTGAGGTTCATTCTTTCCACATACGTATCACAATTTCATGTTTGATATATGGGGTGATTTAAAATTTATGAACTTTAGTTCAGACCTTAATGTATATGATTGCTTCTGAATCTAAAATTAAGATTATATATTATACTGTGATAAGTATCGCAATATGGTCTTGTGCATTGCAAAATACTGATACATTTTAAACCTCTAATACCCATCCCTAGTGTCTGGAAACTGGTAAGATGCTAATTTCTAAAACAGAATTTACATGATTTCAAGAGTGAGTGAGTGAATGGTGTTTGATGCTCTAGTCGACATCATACCAGCTGTATAATGGGATCCTGTAAGTAACCAGACAGCAGTCACGGTATAGTGATCTATAAATCTTCTATTTATACTGAGCAGCCATTGTGATCATCAAATCCCCAGTTTGGTTGGTTCTTATTAGTTAGAAGTTATTGGTTAGTTATCCGAGGTTCAACACAACCGAAAACTGATAAATAGAGAAGAAACACTTAGGGACTAAGTTTTTACTTCGACACAACCATAAGTTTGACACACCAAGGTCGACACAACGGTGTTTGACTGTATTTTCAACTTCGAATTCTATCCCTAATTTTGTGCGAAATCACATGCCTTGAAGTCTTGTACACTCAAGCATATCACACGACTGTATTGATCATAAGATCCCCAAGTGGAACAAATTTATTTCCAAAGAATATTATAAGCTCATAATTTCAAATCACATGATATATGCATTCAAACACATCATGTGACTATGGATCATGTCACTAATCACCCAGTGGAACAAGCAGATTTCAAAAGAATTTAATCAACCCATAACTGCAAGTCACATGACACGTACATTCAAGCATATTACATGACTGTTGATCGTGTGACAATAAAAACCCAGTGAAACAAACTGATTTCCAAAGAATTTAATCAATCCATAACTGCAAGTCACATGACTTGTACATTCAAGCTCGGTCACATGACTATTGATCATGTGACCCCAAGCCAAGTGTTTGGCAGAGAGTTGATGTTTGAGTCGGTAGATGGCACATATTGAGTGGTGAATCTGGCTAGAAATGTGTAGAGTCTATAACAAGCCCTATACAGCATGGTGCTCAATATGAGATATTCGACAGGTTGCTTCTGTTGGGAAGAAATGAATGATTTGCCCCATGGGCAAGTTTATGCTTAGGGGATGGTTTGTACTGGCAGGGAAATTTACACATATATGAAAAGTACGAGAGCAGTGTTGCCAGATGGCGATATTGACGTAGACTGGGAGGTCCCGTCTTGGAAGGAAATTAATCAGTTCCGTTAAACAAATCACAGATGTATTGTGGAAATGATCAGACTTGATGAGAGAAACTGATTTAGTTTTTAAATATTTTGGAAGAATTGCATAATGACAGGTTGGTTTCCTGTTTGGGAATGATCGTGATTGCCTAAGACTTTGTTGTTGCTATCTGGCAAAATGTGTCAAGATTGCTGGAAAGTTTTAAGATAAAGCATTTCTGGCCTCTCAAACATCTCATGTTGTTTAATAAGTGAATGAGTTGAATGGAGGTCTTGAAGGCTGTATATCAAACACAATTAGACATGCAATCATGCAGATGGCCCTCTTGAAATTGGCTTGTCATTCACGGGTAAGTATGTATATGCTGCTCAACTTGTGATAGGAATTTTGAGATATTAAATACTATTAAAAAACTCAGAGGACAACAGCTGATAGAAATATGTACTTGCGTTTGTCATAAGCAAAATTCAGCTGCAATAGAAACGTTCCATGGTAGTATTGAATACTATTTGTATGACAACATCTCCAAGCCTTAATTAAGAAACAGTCCCCACCTTGACTCTCAGAATATCCCTATCTAAACTTGAGTAGTGTATGTGTTCCAATATATGTAAAACATCTCATAGATATTCAATATAATGTAAAAGTTATAAAGTGTCTACAGCATCCATATTGAATTTTTCTTTAAATATTTTAATCTGATCTACTGATAATTCTTTTTTCAAAACTATAATAATGATGAGGATGCCTTGTTTGTCATCTTCAATCTTAAACACCACAATAAAACAAATCTTAAAGTCATTTTCCGAAATAACAAAATGGAAATCTTTCTTCAGCAGCATTGACCTATGGCGTAAAGATATTAATAAAGAGTGGTGTATATTTTACACCCCCCTAAGGGACATTACTCAATCATATTAGACAAAGTACTACTGACTGCACAACTGATTATCATCGTCATATACACAGATCAGCCCAAGAGGCTTAGCTCCAGATATTTCTCCTTACATTTTCATTTAATGTTGTCTGCTGAAGGGAGTTCTCCTGCGACGGGACATCCCACCTCCCCAGCATCAGTTAGACGAACAATTAATCGATTTGGACAAATTCCATGATGAAAGGATTCAGATGGAATGATTAATTATGGCGGGATCATAATCCCTGCAGGAATGACCGAAATCATAGAATAATGGCAGAATTGCTGGAAGGTGGATTGACTGATCTGGGTTTTATAGACAGAGGTCAGGGGTCTCCACGTTCACAGATCCAGGAGGGTCTTGGGTGCAGTTGGACGTTCCAACAGGAGGCGATCTGGGAGGAATTTAGTGGTGTCCACCTTGACCTTACATTCGTAGGGGAATCTCAAGACTGACTTTCCCCTTCTGTGTTTTGAGGTTCCATTGATTGGTTCTTGAGTTTGTATTCATCCGTTTTCTGTGATTTATTGGAAGACTTGGTCTTGGTTCTTTTAGATTTTCTTGTAGAGTTTCCGTGTGAACTGTTTGGAAAATGTTTTTGATGGTTGGGTTTGTAGATGCAAGGAAAGATAAATGGATGGATGATTGAGTGGATTGGTGTTTTAAAAGATGAATAGAATGAGTTTGTAGGATGACGTAGTGAATTAAAGGGTAGTTCATGTTGGACAAAAAATTAAAAAGAAAATGCATCAATATTATTGTCCTAATATGAAGAATTGAAACCTGTTATGGAGGACAACAAGACAGAATGTCAGTTATTATGGTAATTATTTAGATAAAATGTTACTGGACACATTTACAATTAATATGAAAAGAGCTAAAAATGTGACAGATCTTTAAAACAATGATAAAATTGGAGTGGCCTTACTACTTTTGGAAGTATACATCAAGTCCAAGTCAATAGTCCATGAAAATAGTTGACAAGTTGACGTGTCGAACCCTGGTTTAAGGAAGGCAAGATGATGGATGAGATACCATATTTTCTTGACTTCACTGCGCACCCAAACATAATGCACACCTCATCTTTGGGATGCTTTATTTTGGAGAAAAAGATTTTTCAAGTATTTTACACAATCAAAAACTACATCGTATCGCCTCAGGTGGAAGAATGGGAGATAGCACACTTTGTCAGTGGAAGTCCTTGCGATAAAGATCGCTAGACATTGTGATTTACCATTTTAGTGGCATTTCCTGTTCTGCTAGGCATTGTTTTATATGCAAAGATTTAGATTACCAAGTGTTTTTGTCTCTGAAACTAAGCTGGAAAAAGCTGTACACACGTTTTCTCCTGGATCTGTGTGTGATTCGGTTAAATAATACCCAATGATATAATTGAAGAATGGTTTTTATACAGTGATCGGAAAAAATTGTAGATGGATTGGTGGATGGATGGATGGATGCACACATGATTTGAATGAAGAAGCTGGTATACATATATAAATATATATCCTTGATCATTAAAGCTCTTATTTGAAACCTATTGACCGTATGCTATCATAGTCAGATTTCAATAATGACTTCAGTCACGATGCTGAAATAACTCAAAAGAAAATTCCTGTCCTGTAAGATTCTGTAGCTTTTTATTAAGATTTGTGGTTGCAGTGCAATTTCACAAATTAAAAAATTCTAAATAATTGTATTACATCATGGCATCAATATAACTGTTACTGACTGAACTTTAAAAGTTGAATTATATCTGGAATTAAGGAAAATTGCTGCTTTAGGTTTAATACTTTAAGTGAACCAAATGACACCAGGACATGCAGGGCAATAACAAAACAGAAATCTTCTATTCTTATGTCATATTTCAAATTATACGTGACATAAGGCGAGAAAAATTGATATTTGTGAAGATGGTAAGATAAAGCCCTGATGCTAAAGTTATTACTGTGGTATTATTATTCCATTTTTCATGGAATTTTGAAGTATTGGAATTCTGGGTAAGATATCATATCATTCTCTGCCGAATTTGTCTCAAGAAGAAGATTTGCAACAATATGTTTCCCGGACCACAGTACTCATCTTTGACCAAACACGCATAAAACAGCACAATTTCTTGTCAGAGGTTGTCATGCGGACATTATTTTGAGAGATATGACGGAATAATTAATATCCATGACCAGACCTTCCTGTCCTAACTCAAAACGCTTTGTCCGATTTATTGTCACTGGAGCCCTGTATCACTTCTTGGCAGACAGTAAATTCCTGTTTTGATTCAATCAAGACGGGATATAGCACAGAGCTTTAATCAAGTTTAGAAAGATACGGCTAGATCCGTTATTTTTTTTACTGTGAATTTATCAGTCCAGATTGGATAATTTGTATGCAGTCGGAGTCGTTTATAATAACAGTGTCGCATCTGTCGGGAATGAAAGAGAGGGCTTGCAATGCATGGCACTGAAACGTGAGGCCTATTGGATTGGGATCAGGGTTTATCATAGCCTAGAGAAATCACATTTCTCTTCGCATCGGCAACTTTAGATCTTGTTAAGTGTATTGACGAGATTTCGCTTCATTTGCAGGATTCCAGATTGATCCATTGTCCACTCGCGGAATCTCCCTGATCACCTGTTGAGGAAGTATTGCTGAGATACACGGAAGTCTGTCTGGAACAGGTACGTGAGAATATTTTTATTTCCTTCATTTTGTCTTTTAAGATGTTTTGTGGAGACGGTTTGTTATGATAGCTGAGTTTATCTTCAGAGTATTTTGAGTTTGGTTGAGGATGCTCTTATTTGATCTGCTGCCATTGTTGCTGGAAGGGATGGGAAGATGAAAACACTCCGAAACCTTAATGTGATGGCGGTTAGTTTTCCTTGTAAACTTCCTGACATAACAATAACAACAATGATTTGAGTTGTAAAAACAACAATAATAAGGATCAATAAATACTGAAACTCATAAGTATATGGTGTATGCAAGTATGACATGGTAATATGAAGTATGCTTGTTTTATCAGGAGGCAACGTAAAACATCCCATTGAGTTGATATGTGGATATTGGAATCAACTGAAGCTTTTCTTTGAGGGTGCTTAGCATAAAGCTGTTTATAGAAACATCGTTTTATTTGAAGTTGAGGTGGGTTTGATGTCTTTGAGACACTCCTAAGTCCTTCAGGCTGAGTTGGCCATGTGTTAAATGGCCCTTTATTTGCTTTGTAAAGTTGATACGCTTAATTATGGCAGGATCTGCTGTCCTTCGGTTCCAATCCCAGATTTGGTCTAGGTATGATCCGTGGGTTGTCAGAAGTTTGTTGTGTAGAGTTGATGCCCTTACCCATGGCAGGATCTGCTGTTCATGGTATCCAGTCCCCAGTTTGGTCTGGGTATGATCCGTGGGTTGTCAGAAGTTTGCTGTGTAGAGTTGATGCCCTTACCCATGACAGGATCTACTGTTCATGGTATCCAGTCCCAAGTTTGGTCTAGGTATGATCCGTGGGTTGTCAGAAGTTTGCTGTGTAGAGTTGATGCCCTTACCCATGGCAGGATCTGCTGTTCATGGTATCCAGTCCCAAATTTGGCCTAGGTATGATCCGTGGGTTGTCAGAAGTTTGTTGTGTAGAGTTGATACCCTTACCCATGGCAGGATCTGCTGTTCATGGTATCCAGTCCCCAGTTTGGTCTGGGTATGATCCGTGGGTTGTCAGAAGTTTGCTGTGTAGAGTTGATGCCCTTACCCATGGCAGGATCTGCTGTTCATGGTATCCAGTCCCAAATTTGGTCTAGGTATGATCCGTGGGTTGTCAGAGGTTTGTTGTGTAGAGTTGATGCCCTTACCCATGGCAGGATCTGCTGTTCATGGTATCCAGTCCCAAATTTGGTCTAGGTATGATCCGTGGGTTGTCAGAAGTTTGTTGTGTAGAGTTGATGCCCTTACCCATGGCAGGATCTACTGTTCATGGTATCCAGTCCCCAGTTTGGTCTGGGTATGATCCGTGGGTTGTCAGAAGTTTGCTGTGTAGAGTTGATGCCCTTACCCATGGCAGGATCTGCTGTTCATGGTATCCAGTCCCAAATTTGGCCTAGGTATGATCCGTGGGTTGTCAGAAGTTTGTTGTGTAGAGTTGATTCCATACCCGTGCCCGTGGGTTTCACCAAAGTAGTAAACGTCTAAGACCTGCATCACTTGGGGCTTTCCTCCCACATTAAGCTGACATGCCATGATATAACTGGAATACTGTCAAAAGCGGCATTAAACCCAACTCACTCACTCCCACTTGAAGTCAACACATTGTAAATAATTGAAACACTATCCCAAATTACTGTATTTAGGATGTTTTAAAATGTTTAAAAAAAAATCCATTGAGTTCATTTCGTTGGATCAGTCAAACAACTTCCCTTAACTTCCAATAACTCTTGTATCATCTGTTTGAAAATAATTTTCAAGGAAAGGAAATATTATGAATTATGCAATGAGCTCTTGCACAGGACAGAGTCCTCATTTTTGAAAATGTTATTATATTTTCTATCCCAGGATATCAGTGGGATCTTTCTCTTCTTCATTTTGTTAAACTGTTGCCAAACAAATTTGTTTTAGGAGCAATGAGAAAAGGGAAATTTGGGTAAAGGGGTAGTTTATATGCATTCCAATTCCATAGACACTCCTAGCTCGCTGTGGTCTGATCCTATCATAGGGACATTAGCACTTGTTGATACTGGTGCAGTAAAACGGAGGACCTCCAGTGCTGTGGACATTGATCTCCGAAACATGATGCATATTCATCATTTGCTTGCATTTCCATCTAAATGACAGAAAAACAGAGAGTTCTGACAAAGTTTACGTTAGTCATGTGATAGTTTTGAAAAGGGTTAAATGCAGAATATCATTACATTCTTAAAGCTTGATTCTTGTTGTCTTATAATTTGCTTGTGTGGTAAATATTTTCTTCGGTGGATGTTTTGTTTTTATATGAAATTGTTTCATTTTTTTTGCATTTTTATGAATAGTTAATTTTATTTGATATTGTTGGATATCTCATTTTGCACTGTGTCAAAATATATCAAACTGTTAATTTCATGACAACTAGTTTCAGGAGATTTCCATTTTGATAAGCAGCTATTGGTCAATATTGAGATGCCTCTGAAATTGCTCTAGTTATCAATTTATGTCTTTAAAACATTAGAGGTATCAGTTATAAACAAAAATACATTCTATTATATCTGCCACATTCGCTGAAGATGTAATATACTTCATCATAAGCATTATGTGTCATTAAGAAACATTCATTCAATCACACTACCATTATTTGGGCTAAAAACAGAAAGCACTCTGTCGTAAAACTTGAAATAATAGCTTGTAATCATTGTTTTGAACTTTGAATAGTACCTTGTAATGATTGTTGTGAAATACATTGAAAACCTCTTCGAATGACAGCTGTGTGTTGAGATTCTCAGGAATAATTATCCCAAACGTAATGTAACTACAAACGATGTGAATGATTGAGTCTGTAGCAATGGTGTCTCTGCACAGTGAGGGGAGGACAGGTGTTGGCATTCACTCGGATTCTGCCAGATGGAAACTGAGTTGAATCCAGGAATATTATACTGTGTTACAGTTCCCTCCTGAGTATCATTGTTGAGAACAGACACTGCTGGCTGAGGTGGCACACAATGCTGTTGTGTGTAGTTTGTTGTAGTGTCTCTTTCACTGTCGACAGGGCTGGTTAGGTGGTAATGCATTATAAATTTGCAATAATGATCAGCTTTGTGACTATATTTGGCTATAGATTTCATTCTGCATTAGTAAAAACCCGACATGAGAGCATTAGTAAAACACCTAAATATGACAGCAGCAGGAACACATCCAACAGAAGGGCAATAGTAAAACACCCAATATGGCAACATCAGTTAAACACCTTAAATGGCAACGTCAGTAAAATATTCCACATGACATCAGTAGAACACCCAATATAGCAACATCAGTAAAACACTCCACATGACAGCATCAGTAAAACATCCAATATGACAACATAAGTAAAACATCCCACATGACAGCATCTGTAAAATACCCAATATTGCAGCACCAGTAAAACACTCCACATGACAGCATCAGCAAAACACTCCACATAACAACAGTAAAATATCCAGTATTGCAGCATCAGTAAAACATTCCACATGACAGCATCAGGAAAACACTCCACATGACAGCATCAGTAAAACACTGCACATGACAGCATCAATAAAACACTCCACATGACAGCATCAATAAAACACTCCACATGACAGCATCAGTAAAACACTCCACATGACAGCATCAGTAAAACACTCCACATGACAGCATCAGTAAAACACTCCACATGACAGCATCAGTAAAACACTCCACATGACAGCATCAATAAAACACTCCACATGACAGCATCAGTAAAACACTCCACATGACAGCATCAGTAAAACACTCCACATGACAGCATCAATAAAACACTCCACGTGACAGCATCAGTAAAACACTCCACATGACAGCATCAGTAAAACATCCCACATGGCCGCATCAGTAAAACACTCCACATGACAGCATCAATAAAACACTCCACATGACAGCATCAATAAAACACTCTACATGACAGCATCAGTGAAACATCCCACATTGCAGAATCAGTAAAACACTCCACATGACAGCATCAGTAAAACACTCCACATGACAACATCAATAAAACACTCCACATGACAGCATCAGTAAAACACTCCACATGACAGCATCGGTAAAACACTCCACATGACAGCATTAGTAAAACACTCCACATGACAGCATCAGTAAAACACTCCACATGACAGCATCGGTAAAACACTCCACATGACAGCATTAGTAAAACACTCCACATGACAGCATCAATAAAACACTCCACATGACAGCATCAGTAAAACACAAAAAGTAAAATTGTTACCATTGCTGAACACATTTGTCTAACGACTTTCTCAAATGTTTCAAATTTACCAAGAAGCAATACTTGATTTCGAAGATTGTTCTATTTTATTTATGTTTTGAACTGTTGATTTTTAGGGCAGATTCTGTTAAGGGCAGATTCTGTTAAAGGCTTATTAGCCTACGGGTTTAATGACTGTGTTCACTCATCGCAGCACAGTCATTTGTTAAGTCAGTTCCCTCCATGGTAGCCTTGCTCCAAGGCTGTAATGAAAGAAAAGTCCATGTATGTGTGGTCATTCTATCCTCCAAACAGGCAAGTCAAGATATGTGGACAGTCTAAGGACTCCAGTTTCTTGTAGGGACAACTTGTTCTAATTATTTCCATTATCTAGAACTTATGATTTAAACTAATAATTATTGCCTTGGAGACTTGTGCAAGTCTACCTCCATGGGTACAATTTGTGAAACTTATTTTGGGTGTCCCTTACCATGAAATGTCTTGAGACGGAAAGACCCAAATCACTTACTGCTTGGATGAGCTGAAGTGCATAATTGAAGCTAACGACATACAGGCGATTTTGCTTATTTATTAGTGTTCTCTGTATTTTGATTGACACTGACTATCTGTAATCAATCGTGGATCATGGCTGTCAACATGTGTTGCCGTGAGACATACACTGTCACTAATTATCTCCCTTTACTAAGGGCAGATCTGACATAATATTTGTAAGCTAGAGGCACATTTCCCCAACAG